TAACTGCAAGGAAATCGAACGAGAAAGTCGAGTCTCGAGTCGTTGTCGTACCATAACACTGATCTGCCTTGTATCACAGACCCATTCGGAGATAGTGCTCTTAGAGCGTTAGTTCTGTCGGGGTGTTGGAGTTAATTGTCCCCCGTGAAAGCGATATCCTCGCGATAAGTTTCCGTGGAACTTCATCGTTGTAGTTGCCGCGTAAACCGGCAAAGTTTACCGAAATTCCGGCATTTCTGTTTCTCGAAACCGTTAACAGGAACGATGTCAAGCATCGCATTATTGACTGTGTATCTAACTCTAATCCTTTGATCGTTAACGATTCACCCGTGTCGCTTAGTACGCGCTGTTGCTTAGATGTTCCACGGATAAAAGGCGTTGCTCGCGTCCGAATAAATCGTTAAAAAACTTTTCTGTTAACGCTTCCCTTGGTCCAAAGTTCAAGGGGAAGCTCTCTAGAGGAAAGCGAGTCCACCTTAAACATCGACCCTCGTCCAGGTCGCAAAAGAAACGTGGCAGAGGGGCTGTTCGGTTCGGCAATAAATTATCAAAATTTCCGCAACACGTTCCGCATGCGGCTTCCGATTCTTTGTCGAGTTGTTTCTCTTTATCTTCCACGGACAGCGTCGTTTTTATTCAGCACAAATTATCGAGATCCGTTCTTTTCGTTCGACAAATCTTTTTAAATCTGTAGTTGTCTATGCGATTTATTCGTTAAGGAAGGTGTATTAATATCTGAGTGGAGCAGCTCGATAACAAGTAACTGATACGATAAACATGAACCGCTCTTTCTAGAAAATGCATTTCTTGCAAAGTCTACTTGTCGCTCGAGAACGAAGAAATATCGAACGTCGTCGAGTATCATTATTCAGATCCGACCGTAAATAATCTCGGTTACCTCTCAACAAAGGTGAATTAGCGTGATCCAAGCAAATACCACAATGTCCCCAAGCACTTGCGTTAGTCCGTAATGGAACGCCGATGGATAGAGAGATTAATCTTCCAGATACATATCCGGGATCGTTAAATCGGCTGTGGCACGGGACGAAACAAAAGGACCGAGAGAAATAAAGCAAAGACACCTGACCTAGATGAGCGGTGGCCGCGTAGGTGTAAGCGCGGAGCGTTCGCGCGAAACCGCCCCGACTTATTCCGCTCAGTCTCCTAGCTACCGACAGAATCCGTATATCCCAGTAGAAAGTAGCGCCGTTTTTTTCCCACCCGTTCCAACCTTTCCCGACCCTTTTTCGTCCCTCCGCTTTCGCGGATCGAAAAACTGCTCGAGAAAATAAACAGCCTGCCCACTCCCTTTTGCAAGTGCCATTCAGACCCGTAATTTATTCCAGTTTCGTGCGTTCCTCTTCGCTCCTTTGCCTCTTTCTATTTCTTTGCCTCTTACTTCCTCCAATCTATTAATTCGAGCTATCCGCTGAAATGTATTCGTTGTATTAATTATCGAATTGCGGTAACCGGATCAGTCGTGACCCGGCTCAACGATATTCAAATTATCGAACGGAAAATTTTCGTGTACCGGTAAAATAATATTGAAAGAAACGGTACGTAGTGGATGTAGAGTTTGACTTTACACTACGTTTTGTTTCAATCGCGGTAACCAAATCCTCGATACGTCGCAAGTGAAGAGGAGGTGGTCGTACGCGTCACGATACGAGTCTACCGAAAATTTTGTGTAAATCCCTGGAGAGTGAAACCTCTTGTCCAAATCGCGAGTAAGACCCGACGTCTGTAACAGGTCCAAATAACGGTACATTTGAAAATATCGCTTGTATAGTGACATAATTCAGAAGAAACGCGTTTAAGCGTCGAGACCTCGGCCTGGTTCTCATTGTTCGAAGGAACGAGCGAGGGGCCGGTAGCTCGAGATGAGGCGCGATGAACTCGTTGGCATTTAATTCTCTTTTTTTTGCCACGGTGGTAGCACGACGCCACCGAACGAGTCGTAGGAAAAGGAATTTTTAGACTGGAAAAAAGAGAACCAATTGTTTTCTCTGGTTCGAGACGCATCGGGACGCGGGAACGCGTGTTCGCTCATTGTTTGGCCGGGTACGATGTGTATACAGAAGGATAGAGAGCAAGCGGGCGACAACTTGCCACGGAATCGCAATATCGAACGAGCCTCGTGTCGCTCGAGGGAGAATAATATTGAAATCACTGTGGTTTGCGCTTGCAAGTACCACGACGACGACGACGACGACGACGATTCTGCTGCGACGTCGACGACGATGACGACGACGACGC